CATACATATTTTCAACTTTTAAAACAGGTTTATTATCTTTTTTAACGATAATTCTATAGTCTCCTGGAGTAATTTCTTCAAGAATAAAGCATTTTTTAGCCCATTCACGTGTAGTTTTTGTGTCAATTTCTTTGTCAAAAGGGTTAAGTAATATTTTTTTTATTTGTTTAAAAAGATTCATATTAACTAAGGCTTTTTCTTGACGACAATCTGGTAGAGAACTTATATATTTATTAATTATATCATCAAGTGTAGCCTTACTAATAAAATTGTATTCCATCTTAAAAAAATTGAATATTGATAAAAAAAATGTGAGACAAAAAAAAATAAGGTGTAAATAAATGATGTAAAAATAATATTAATTATTTATTTGATCATTAATGCGTCAGATGACAGCTAATGCGCCTCAGTTGTCAAATATTAACTGACGCACGTCAAGTATCGATTGACATCTGACGTACGTCAGCTGCATCTGACGCAAATCGACACTTAACGCACAACAAAAAAGTGAAAAAAATTGTTAAATTTAAAAAATAAGTATATAAGGATACCAATAAAGGATTTGTTATCATTAATCAAAAGGAAATTGATCTCTTATTATTAGATCTTCTTTGTAAAAATAGAATTCTTGCATTGAGATGTATCTAGAGAAAAAAATATGAAAAGGTGATTTATTATATCATATATTTCCTTTATTTATTTTATTTTTTTTTTTGATGCAAAATTATTTTTTTTAGATTACAACTTTTTTGTGAAGGAGTCACATAAAATTTTGTGAATGATTTGTCTCCAGAAGTTCTCAGATATACAGGACTTATTTATGAGCATACTCTTGAAGAAGAAAAATATATCTTTATTGAAGAGGTTAAAAATCCAAAATCTGTTATGATATTAGTTAAAGGATCTAATTTTCACACAATTGCATAGATTAATGATACCATTCATGATGGATTATGAGTTGTAAAGAATGCAATTAAAGATAAATATATAGTACCAGAAGCAGGAGCATTTTAAGTTAGGCTTTCAGCTCACTTAAATAAATTTAAAAGTTTAGTCAAGGGGAAGGCTAAGATGAGAGTTCAAGTATTTGCAAACGCAATGTTAATAATTCTTAAAGTTTTATTACAAAATGAAAAATTCAATGCTTAGGATACTATTGTTACTTTATAGATAAGTTTAATTATTATTATTCAAAAAATATTTTAATTTAGAATTTTGTGTATGTGAAATGACCAAAACATATTATTGTATTATACTATTACGTAAACAAATATTTGATCAATGAGACTATTTTTTTAATAGAAGGAATTTATAGCAGATCATATTGTAGGAGTTGATTTAAATATGAGAAACATACTTAATCCTATCGTGAAGGGTATTTAGAATAATTATCATATCGTTCATCATATGTTACATTCCTGATAAGATTATTAATATTATTGCATTCTATTCATAAATAAACTTTCAAAAAACTTAACCTTTCGCAAAATATTTGTTTATTTTATTTAACGTTTATTATTACTACTCAGACTTCTTCTATTCTTAGTATTTCCTTGTGTATAATTTGTCGCTGATACTGCAACAGTAAAATAACAGTTTTTTATTTATCAGATGGTATGCGACTTTATGATATCTCAAATATTGTGGATTCTATCACCACCAATATCACTGCCACTAAAAAAAGGTTCCTTTATATACAGGTCTTTAGTGTTGAGTAAAAAGAGGATCTTGAATAGTAGAAATAATACCTCAGATCCAGATACCTAACCTACGAACTCATCAACGATATTAGATCAGATGTTAACTTTAAGAGACCAGAACTTAAGACTTTATTAGAATGGATAAGTTACAGAATTATCTCAGAAATTGTGATTATCCATTATGACTGATTCTGCTACTTCGCCTTTAATTTCATCCAGTACATACTTTCCCTTTATACTATAAAACTCATAGTTTTTTTTGATGATGTGACCTCTGATGAATGCAAACTTTTCTAAGATATCTTTGCAATCAATATAGTTTTTATCTGTTAAATACAAGGAAGAATAGCCACTATTTACTGATGAAAATGCCAGGATAGAAAAAAAGTGCAAGACAAAAATCAGGATAATATCAGTATATAATAAACGACAATACTTAAAAACCACTTTTAATTGTATATTGCTAATCAAAGTGTATTCAAATCACCCTCTAAAGCAGCTATTAAAACATTAGATGGGCTTGATAAGATATACTTATAATACAGTTGTTCACTAGAATTGATACTGCTATTTATATACCAAAAATTCATATATTAGTCTATTATAATGAGTTTAGGTAAACCTTAATACATTGAAAATAAACTTAAACTTTATGCAGATGTTCGTGTAGAAAAAGATGTTAATAAACATAAGAATAAGAAACTTTAAAAATCATATATATAGGGTGAATGCAAATTCGTACAAATTATTGTATATATTGGAATGTTACTTTATGGTATATATTGTCAATGGAAGAAATTGCAACTCCAAATATCACATGGGATATGTCAATCAATAATGATCTCACGTTAGATGATGTCACTGCTATGCCAAATAGTGATCAGCAGTAATTTCTGTTTCTTCTATTACGTTTGTTCTCTCTGTATTTTCTATACAGACTGTTTATTCTGTTTATTCTGTTTCATCCATAATTTCTTTAACGTCTGAAATTTATTTTATTTCATTTTGTTATTTTTATAGTTTACATTATTTTTGTTATTTTTATTATTTTAAGTATATTTTTATTGGAATATATATCTATATTTAGTTAATTTATAGTATAGCAAATAGTTAGCCGAAGCAAATTCATTTTGTATAAATAGAATAGCTTTTTGCTTAAGTTGTAAATTAACTCATTTGTAAGTTTCATACGAGTTTCAAAATATAAATAAAGGAATCAATTTAAATCCACACAAACTACTTTTCCCTTCAACGTTGTCCTTCATTTAGGATTGTTATGATATACTATACTAACTTACTATTGAGTTCGTCATTACGAATTCGATTAACATATCTTAAATTCTAAGACGTGATAAATTGCCGAGTTAATTCAAGTATAACGGATACCTGTAGGACTTAGAGATAATCCTAAGGTCAGAAACTCTAACGTGTAGAATCAGCTGCTGCAGCCTTTCAACTTAGATGTTAAGGTAAATGAAAACGAACCTGGTGACAATTTGGTAATTCCTGCCAGGATGTAAAACTTTTGAGAAAAGCTAAGAATTGTGGATTTAAACGAGTTTAAACAAGAGAACCAACTACACGACCTCAGTCATGGACCAGAGACTGACCCAAAGGAACTTCTTGGAAGAGATTTATCCTATTTAACTTGTTATCCTTTTTATACTCCAGAACCTGAAAACTTTGAAAATTTGTGGAATTGGCATCAGCTCCAATTCAAAACATATAGATATACCGGCATTACTCTTGACCTTTTTATTATTATTAGTCAAACTGTTCCTGAGTTTAAATTATATCCAAACGATCGTGATCTTTTTAGGACCCTTGTTGCTTAGATTAGTATTCTAACTCAAAGTTACAGATATAACCCTACTGCAACTGAATTACCTCCAATTACTCAATTAATTTCAGTATTTATAGATACTGATTGTTTTACAAATAATTTTTCTCCATTTGTCACATGAACACAGTCTTCAATTATCTACAATGAATATTCATTACAAGAAGAATTAAACGTGGCTCCTCTAAAGAAAGATAACACTAGTCAGAAGTCAGACAGTTCTCAATCTCAACAGACATACCAACTTAGAGACGGAAAATCTTATACCTCTTCTGCGCAACCTACTAGAAGAAAAAATACTTCAAATATTCCTACTAGCACAGAAAGAACACCTGGAAGACCATCAAACACAGATACAGGATCTGAAATTAGCCAACTTCAACCTCAATCACTTCAGTCTACTACTATTGAAACTTCTCCCCAAGAAACTGTAACTTTAGATAATTTAGATATTGAAACAGACAACGGTCAAGTATATCTTAATAGTCCCTATAACTTTAATAAGACTGAAGTAGAAACAGATAATTCTGAATATCCTCCAATCGATAGTCCAACTTTTGGAGGCTTTGATAACGATACAGTAGAAACTACAACTGAGATAATTTATCCTCAGTCAAAAGATAAAGGTCCAGAAATTGATACTTCGACCACAGGTTTCCATAATATTTCACCCTCTTTTAGACATAGAGAATATCAATCAAATCCAAATACTTCAAATATCTTTAATCAAA